GTATCAAATTGAGTTAATTTTAGAGCAAAAACAATTCTTCCTAATCAACAGTATCCTCTTGATATTTTCAGCTTGGGACTGAATGGAGAGAATGCACATCAACCAACTTGAGCTTACATTAAGAAGAAATCAGCTCCCTGTGGCCCTGAGATATATTTTCCTAGCACTTATATAATTTGTAATATGAAGTATAAGTTTCTAAAGAAATGTTACATAGTGCTAAGGATATAAAACTAGGAGAACTTTTCAAGATGTAGTCCTGAGAGGCAGAGCTGTGGCTACAGATATTCTTGAATTACGATTTCAATAAATAGCAATTCTATTTCTAATGGGTCATTAAATATAAAACATTGCTTTTCATTCTATTTGGTCATCTTAGTAGTTTGTCATAACTGGAAACATCCCAAGCATTTTATTTTCCCCATGGCCAGAGAAAATTGAGCTTTCATCTATCAGTGCATAAAAGATTAGGTGTTTTTTCTTCATTCCATAACCTGAGATAGCAATAAAGATCCTCTCACTCTGTCATTTCTTGTCAGTAAAAGAACAGCTGTTATAAAAATACTGCCTTGGGACTTTGATCATTCTAGCAGGTCATTAACTAAGCAATGTTCATTGTCTAAACACCTTTGCAATGTGCCTGGTAGGGTGCTAAGAAAATAATCATTTGTCAGTTGGACTTGGCATTTTTTATAGCATAGCTTCATACTCGTAAAGTACAAAAAAAACCCTCCAATTTGTTTTGATGACTGAAGATTTAGAAGAGAATTTGCTAAAGATCCTAAGCTTAATATTCATGAATTTTGTCCAATAGGCATAAAAATAACCATATCATGAGAGAGAAGTATTCACGACTCTGAGTCTTGGAACTATTTTTTTTTGTCCCATCTATGTGATTTGACTAGTTTCGATGTCTGTAATTCTAGAGCAGCACTTTTCCAGTGGAGAAGTTCTGCATTGTCCAACATCCACCAACATGTGGCCAATAAGTAACAGAAAGCGAGACTTGAAAAGCATCGCCTAGGTTTGGTAACTCAGAAGTCATTCTCCACATTTGGCAGAGAGACTCTTAGAAAGTTCATGGTGGATAAAATCTTGTCTTGAAAGATGGTTAAGTAAGTGGGAGATGAAGCAGTAAGCAGCAAGTATACTTAGATGTGGAGGTGGAAGGTACTTTAGAAGGTGAGCAAACAGAGGACAGGCCTAATAGACCTCAGCTCTCAAGCCTAAAATGAATGCAGGAGGGTTTAAACCAGGTTTTATACTTTTAAAGGAAAATCATGACACTGAGATAACATTTTGTAAAGACAAGGGCTAATGTGAGAATGAATTCCCCTTCCTTAGGAAGAATAGGAACATTTGTGGTCCTTGGTGGTGTAACTGTTACTTGAGGATGCAAAGGAAATGGTCATATTATTAACTTTGCTCTGAAAATCTAGAACAGTCCATAATGCTATAAAATAAGCTATTGTATTATTTCCTTTAATAAGAAATCTTATAAATGCATAGTACCAAGATTGATTTGTCAGAAAAAAATCAGATATAGTCTTGTACTTATCTACAATTATTTCTCAAAGCTAACATTATAAGTGCTGAAACACTAAAATGTAGGTTCAAAATACTGATACTAATCAAACATTATACATGAGTGAAATTTCATTTTAAGTGAATAGATATTAATTTTATGGCTAGAGAACCAAAAGAAAATTTAGAAAGAATGTATGTCTTAGCAAAATTTAGCCAGCCATGGTCTGAACCCAGGTCTTTAGACTCCTGCTGTTTAGACAGCATAACAGGGTATTCTTAGTAACCCTATATATTATAAAAATAGAAAAAACAGAACATTTATTTTTAATAATTTTATTGACACAGTAATTGTATATATCTATGGCATATAATGTGATGATTATATATAATGTATATGTGTGTATATATACATATTTATGTAATGATCAAATCAAAGTAATTAGAAAAATGAAAAATTTCTAACAGCATGCTTCATTAGGGACAGCAAATCCTTTTCTCCACATTTCCCCATTAATACCATTTGCCTTTTAGCACATTCTTACAATGTACATTATGCTTTCCATCCTTTTCCCTTATTTTCAAAAGTGTTTGATAATTATCCTGCATGCTAGGAAATATGACCCAAACAGAAAGTGCTATTATGCGCTTAATGCCTTCTTTAAAAATACTTAGCTTCCCTATAATTCTTCTAAAATGCATCCTTTTGAAAACAGAAAAGATAGTATATGGGTGGTTTATAAGTTAAGTGGTTTTTAAGGATTTAATTGCTAAAACCATCCTAGTACTCAAACAGTGATATCAGGTTTTCAGATTTCTTAGATAGTAGGTACTAGAAAGTATAGGACTCTGGGAGGACCCTTTGTGTTTATACAAAGAGACCCTCTGCTTCACACAAAATGAAAGTGTAGACTAGTAATTCATACATTAAAAACCTGAAAATGTTGTTGTTCGGGTTTTTGTGGTTTGGGTTTTGTTGTCGCCTTTCTTTTTTTTTTGAGGGTCAGTAACTCCTTTGGCAAATCCTTAAAAGAGTGAAAGTCAGAATAAGTATCATATACAGCTGCTCATACCATCACAGTCCGTTTCTAGAAGTAATAGGCTTTCTCAAAATGAAGTCATTTATATTCGTAGCCATGCTCTATTATGAGCACTGAGTAATTTTCTTGAGAGCAATGTTTCCTGTGGCAAGTTGCCAAGACTGACTTTATTTGTTTTTCATTAGGCTTTTCATTATCATGCTGCTATATACCTGGATCATTCTGCTTCCTCTGAGATAGCTGGTGTAGTCTAAGCATAGGCATGATGCAATGAGTAGGTGGAATGCTTTTGTCCAGTGAACACCCATTTAAAATCTCCAGCTATGGTACTCTTCTAATGGCTTTCATCCTTCTAAAAATAGTCAGGTCTCCATTTATAATGTAGTGTGATATTAAACTGTTTGCATCCATCTAATCTGTCTTTGTCCAAGGAAAGGCATTAATCTCACCTTGTACCACACTGGACCTGCTCCTCCTCTTCTCTTATCTTAGGAAAAGGCACCCAGATCAACCTCTGCTTGGAACCAGGGTTTATTTGGTATTTCTTCTCCATCCTATGTGTTCAATCTCCATGTCAAATATCTTGCATGCTTTCAAGTACACATTCTTTCTGTGTCCCCTAACTATTGAGTTGGTCTAAATCCATACCATCCTTAGAACAACTATACAGCTACCACTTCATGATCGTGATGGTCCCAGAATTGTCCTTTCCTTTTCATTTTCTTTTGCCCTAAGCATCTATCAGTATCCATTGTTGTCTATAAGCAAAGTATTTTGTTTCTGCTATACTGCCCATTTGTAATTATTTTGTGTTAAACATTAACAGGCAGATTTTGAATTTGTTCAGAATGATACAAAATTTTGGCACTCCTAGAGACTTCTTAATTTTTATGTTTTATTATTGTAATTGATGTAAAACATTGTAGACTATTTACTTATTTGTGGGATAGGTACAATGGATAATTTGATACATGAATACAATGTTTAATTATAAAACCAAGGTAAATTTCGTATCCTTAAACATTTATCATTTCTGTGTGTTGGGAATCTTCCAACTATTGAAGTCTTTTTTGGAATATATAATAAATTTTCATGGGTTGTAATAACCTTACCATGACATAGAATAATTAGGACAATTTTCTGCCATCTAACTGTATTTTGGTATCCATTATCCAAACTTTCTCAATCTTCCTTCCCATTCCTCTGACCAGCATTCTACTCCGTACTTCTGTGCCCTCCTAAATAACTGAGAATATGAATTATCTTCCTCTGCCTACCCTATTTCACTTAATATAATTTGACTCCTCAGTTTGAGGAGAACCTCTCAGAATAAGTGATTTGAAAGTCTCTGTATTCAAGTATTAATCAGAGGTTGAAAATAATCATTGAACGGTTTAGAACATCAGATAATTTAACAAGAGTATCAAGGTTTATTTGAAACATTATGTGTATGTACCATCTAATAAAAATGCTATTTTTTTAAAAAAAGAAAAGCATCATTGAAATTTGCAATTTTCAGGGCTTCATTACACCTTGTAGACTGTGTGGCTCAATTTTGTCATTTCATAGGAAAGGAAAACAAGGGCCTGCCACACAAATAAAAAGAATTTTTTAAACTTACAATCTCATAGTATCAGTCTTTTCTTAAAATCTATGATGCTCAGAATGAAGTTGAACCATCAGCTTCCCTTTTCATCTCCAAATCATATCCTAACACAATGTCTGCACCCTCTATTTTTTCTTACAGTTTATTGCACATGATTTTCCCTCCACCCTTTCTCTTTTTGGTCCTAACCACATGTCAAATAGAAGATTATACATCATCTCGGATATCCTCAGATACCAAGCCAGTGTCAGCATCATAGTTGTTCGAAACATTCTAGCTGCCTTTGAACAACCCATTTCTATCACTAGACTAGACAGGATTAAGACAGTTATAGGCAGGAACCTGCATCTTTTCCCATTCTTCATTAAAAATCTGGCGTTCAGTATTTTAAAGTTAATTATTTTCACCTTTCATCTGCCTAGGAGATGTCAGTTTTTCTATCAGCCCACCTCACAAAATCTGTTTTCAGACTAGTTTTTGAAAAACAAATTGATTCACACATCAATATATAAGTCACTGGTAATCTTAAATGACAACTCTTCCTAGAAGCATTTACATTTTTATAGGAACAAAATTCTAAATCAGAGGAATGAAATCTCCAGTGCAGATAATCCAACCATAAATAGTAAGCCATGAGAGAGATTTGTGCAATGAGGCAAGTTCCTTTAAAACAGTAACATAGGAGACCCTCACAGGATGATTCTGCCTTTGTTTATTAAAATCAGACCGCTCATTGCTTGTTGCTTTTTTTACTCTACTAAATAAATCATTCTTATATCCCATAGTATGAAGACTTGATTTATTTTGTAACATTCCTGGTTTTGTTTCAGGGAAGCAATGTTATGGAAGATCAGGATTTGTTGGAAATCGGCATCCTTAATTCTGGGCACAGACAGAGAATTCTACAGGCAATCCAGCTCCTTCCAAAGGTAAGCAATGATTAATGGTTCTAATCTTGTATGTGGTTCCAGTGGTTTTAGGCCTTCAAGATGTATTCACACTTAGGTACAAAATACCAAAATAGTGGTGCAGTCCATTCGAGCGGGTCTTCCCAGGGCCCGCTGCACATTCAGACCCAGCGGGTCTTCTCAGGGCCCGCTGCACTTTCCGACCCAAGAGACGACGCCTAGCTTCACTTGACCTAGAAGAATGTAACACAGGGAACACTGCTGGCTAGTGGGGCAGTTTCAGAGCTTCTCTATTGTGAGAATCCAAATACAGGTACAGAGACAGTTTAGGCTCAAAAAGGCAAACTTTATATTGAGTAAGTACAGGGTGTTCCTGACTTGAAAGTCTCATATGAGCTCCAGAAGAAGCACTACCAGTTGTAGCAATTCCATAGATAGAGCCTTGGAAGTCTTCACAAGGAACTTGCCCAAATTGTAAGAGTCATTACTCAGAGAAGTCCATAGTACCCCATCCCACCACGTATTTATGGTTCATAGACAGATCAGCCCAGTCCAGGTGTAATTTTCCAGCCAGGTGTCACTTTTACTGTAAGCTGTGTTACCTAGCAACAACGTTGACCTTCAGGTTTTCAGCTATAGTTTTAAAGGAGCCTAAAGGAAGAAGAAGGATGTAAGAACTAGTCTTTCAAGATGGGTAGGATTATAATTGGAGAGGAAAAGGACAGGCATTTCAGGAGTTCAAAGGATCCCTATAATTACAGGTAGGGCTCAGGCAACCGATTGCTGGACACGTTAGGGACATGATTAGTAATTTAAAATCCAAGGAGAGTTGTACAACAATGTAAATGCACATTATGCCGCAGAAGTGTGCACTTAACATGGTAATCTTTACACTCTGTATACTTCATCACAATTTTTTCATTCCTTTTGCTATTATCTTTAGTTATACAAAGGAGTTGCCATTTAACAAAGCGGTTTATAAATACAATGTATCTTGATCCATGTCACCCATTTCAACATTTCCACCACAATTTTTTTAATCAGAAAAAAGGAAGAAAATCTAATGTGATTGAAGCAATTGGAAACTCTAGGATGTAATCAGAGATAAAGATAAAAAGTAGGTTGGGTGAGTTGGTATCAGGCTGGGGAATTGGAAATGTATTCTGTAGACACTGGAGAACAGCCATGACTAGACTATTTTATTCTGGTTAATTTAATTGTGGAGGCACTTTACAGAGGGAATTAAAAGAAAGTGAAGTTAGAGTGAGGTCATCCACCTGGGAGAAAATTAGGGGAAGCAAGACTCGGGGCATGGTAGCAGGTGAACTAACAGCTACTCACAGATAACTGAGCCTTACCTTTTTTATGTACTGTCTGCTTCTCCCTTCTCAGGAGGCTATAATTTCTCCTTCTCAGACTGAAAAAATAAATAAATATTAAGCACTGTTCTTAAAAAAGTTATCTGATAAAATTTGCTAACTGACAGTCAACCAAGGTTCTGCTGATAGAAACTTCACACTTTTGTAAATTCAAAGAGTGTCGAGCACACACAGGAGTTTAATCCTGATTTTTTTTTTACATTAAAAACAAAAGAACAAAATGTCCTTAGAACTAATTCTCAAAGTAATACTTACACATGCACTGTTCACCTCCCTGCTTTTATATCTTTTCCTAAAATGTTGTTTCTTTGGAACATTTCCTGCTCACAATTCACAATGGCTTCTTAATGCTGCACCTCCAACACCGAGGGCCAGTGCCTGGCCTATAAACAGACACACAGTGACCAACTTCACCTTGTCACAGTGCTCCATTATTTTAAGTTCAATACAGATAGCATTCTATCACCTCATTGTGAACACTCACTTAAAATGGAACCCCTTCCCACCACCGTGGCAGTTTCCAATGTAGTCCTAGCCCACCACCTCCAACTGACAGCCACAGAAGTTTCTGATCTATCATCCTGGACATACTATTTAGATTGATTTCTTATTGTTTCCTTCTACCCTGGACTTTTCATGCTTGTCTAGTCTCTGTTCAGATTACCCTCTTAACCTCTGCAACTGGATTTCCACCCAGTGTCTCCACAGACCCCCTCTAAAATATAAATCAAATCACTTCACACCCTGGTTAAAGTCAAATACAGTCTCTACTCACTTAGAAGAATGTCTTTATCATGGTGTACGGGTATCATAAGATCTGCTTTCTTTCCACCTCTGTGGCTCTTTCTTTCCACTCTTGGCTCCTGTGCTCTACTTAGATGGCTTTCTTTTTATTTCAGAAAATGACAAGCGTGGTTTGGCCTTGGGGACTTTCACCCTGTCTGGAAAGCCTGTCCTTCACATCTTTATACATCATCAAAATTCACACATCACCACTTCACAGAGACTCTTGTGCCTTAAAGATCATACCCTCACCAGCTATCAGTTGTTGGTACAATATTGTCCCTTTTTTTCTCCATGGCCTTTATGCTATCTGAAGTTATAGTGTTGGATTTTTTTTCCTTCATTATATTCCATCTTACTAAGGTGTGTAGCAAGTTCTATGAGTTCAGGTATCTTGTTCCCTTCTGTATATTCAGCCCTTAGAACAGTGCCTGGCATCTAGTTGCTGGCCAAGAAATACTTGTGGAACAGAGTTATATTCCTGTGACCTCTCATTCCTCTGACACTTTGATGGTCTTATGTTTACTTCTCTCTGAAGATATTAATAATATTCCAGCACTTCTATGTTAGAAGTATCCTGAGAACAGAAACAGTTGATGGTTCTTGAATTTTCAGTGTTCAATATTTGAACATTGAAAGAATAAATGACCAAAAGAATGAATATTTTCCTTACATCATTCATTGTTTTTTAAAAATCACAGTGCCCCAGTTTAATGATAATTCTATAATCCTGTTCTTGCAATTTCATGAAACACAAAAGAACCTAAACCTGCAATTACTTGCAAAATGAGTGGAGTGTTTATCTTTAAGACAGGATATCGTTTCATTAGAGAAAACAATGTAATAGAAACAATATGAAATTAAGCTTCCATCAAGAGGCTGATGCAGAAATACTCACCATGCACACAATTGAATAGACAGTGCATAACAACACCCAAACATGTCTTCAGCAGCACAAACAGAATGTTATAATGCTAAGATGTTTTGCTTCTTAGGTAATGAGCCCAATCTTCAGATGATTAATAGGGTAATATTACTGACAGCACATCCATCTGCATCCATTCTAACATCCACTGCCAAGGAAACGGACAAAATGTCTCTTCATTTTGTTTATACAATTTTGATCTTCAGAATGTTTATGTTCTTTATCTGTCATGAAAAATGTTCCATGATTACTACCTGGAATGTTCTAATTAATGTGCTGTATTTTAGAATTGGTGAGATTGTTCCTAAATAGAACAAAGGTAGTTTACAAAGTACAATCTTGATCTGTTAGCTCAAATAATTTCTATTTGTTCAAGTTTCAAAGAAAAAGATTTATAACTTTTTAATAATATGTTTCAAAATTGAAATATGGACCAGTATGAAAATCTCAAATACATTTGATACACTCAACACACAGAATACCTTAGATGTACTCTGAGTACAGATGTCTTTAGAACAGTAAGCATATTGATTTCTCCCCTTCATCTATTCTTTCCTCTTTCTTTTTTATTGTGTGACCTCCAGAAATCAAGCCTAACTATCTTTATTTTCACCCAGCATCCACATCCTTTTCCCACCCCAAATGAGTCCTTTCTCAGGTCTGAAAGGTTTCCTATACTCCTGCAAAACATATTTCCCCCATTTTCCCTTTTTTAAAAAGGAAATGTATACCTAGTTCCATGGGAAACTGGACAGTTTTGTACTCCTAGAAACTACAAGCACATTGTACTTTTTCTGTCCTGAGGCATAGGGAAATTATCTAATTATTTATTTGCAGCCTATAACTTAACTTTTTCAAGGAAAGAATTCTCCAGCCAAATATTTGTTGAATCCTTGGATATATTTTCCTTTATAAAAGAGTATAATCACCATTGTCCCTTCAATAATATAGCACCTAAAGGACAGATATGTCAAGGATTTTCATTTTTAAGGGTTTAAAGGACTGTGTCGAGGCCCATAGTATATCTCCCTTTTCAGTGTCTCTCATCCTGAATGGCGAATGTATTTTAGCATATTTTCATGTCACATGCTCTATTTTCAACATTTCCTCTTTTGATGTTCTCCTATTTTATGACACTGGAGTTGTGTAGTGGCACCCAGCATTTTCGAGCCCCCTTTGCTTTGCCCCCACTCATCCCTCAGACTGCTTAGATCTGACTGGCATCTCCATGGCCTCTCCACACAATTGTTCCACGAGCCCTCAGGAACCAGAGTCCACAATATGCTTGCATGCTCTATGGACTTTGACTTCCGTAGATTCCAACATCATATTCTTATGACTTCCACAGTACCTACTCCCTGCTATTCCTTTTTGGCTTTTTTTTTTGCGGGGGGGGGGGGGGGGAAAGGGTCCGTTGTAGGGCTTGAACTCAGGGCCTGAGTTCTGTCCCAGAGCTCTTTTGCTCAAAGCTAGTGCCCTATCACTTTGAGCCTCAGCACCACTTCCAGTTTTCTGGTGGATAAAAGTCTTATGGACTTTCCTGCCCCAGCTGGCTTCAAACTGCAATCCTCAGATCTCAGCCTTCTAAGAAGGTACCAATACCCAGCTGTCCCTACTATTCTTTCTCTTCAACCAACTCCTCTTCCTCAGTTAAATATTGGCCTTCTTCAAAACTCAAACTTTAAAAAAAAATTGATAACTGGTAAGTGTCATTATCACAAGACTCTTGACCATTGTGCTGTTTCTGACACTCTTTATCTTAGATATTGCTACTGCACTCCTCCTTTACTGCTTAATAAAAACTCACATTTGAGTTGCCCTTCTTTTCTAAGATTAGTTTAATTTAATCATTATTTGTTGTACTTATGTATTTTCAATTTTTTTGCTGAATGGGACCAAATACTTCTGATTATATTAAATTACCATCCTTCCAA